GGTGGCGGCTAATTAGCAGAACGTGAAAAGTAGGGATAAAAAAAAGAATAAACCGGTTAGAAATGCATTGTTATCTCTTCCCGATCCAGTGCTGAAAGCCATTTAAGAGTCATCTGTGATTCTTCAGATCAAACCACAAGTGTTTGGCACAGCTGGGAATTCTTACAAGCTTCGAGAGTGGATATTAGAGCGGGAAGGTTTAGCTAAGCGTCCAAAGAGCGCTCGACACGGATTACGGAGAACGCCTTCAATTAGCTTGCGCGCTTGCCCGAAACCACCTATCCCCCTTCGAGCCGAACACCGTGGAGACAAAAGTGTTAAAGGGCTACCAATTATAAATCGCTGGCCGCTTTTGGATATTTATTTCTACAGAACGTGCATTTGGGCGTTCGTGCAAAAGATTCGGGAGCTAATCAGAAGGTACTTAAAACATTGTTGACGCTACTCAGCAACTTCCTGTTTAGCAGCCCGGTTGAACAATGCAACTGTCACTTCCTTGCCATGTGACCCAGATGGCTTTTGCCAAAGTTTTGGTTTGTTGCAGCCATTATACTAGCACAGGGGTCTGCAACTTTTAAGACATAAAGAGCCACTTGGACCCGTTTCCGAAGGGAAAAAAAAGACTGGGAGCCGCAAAACCATTGCAACATTTAAAACAAATCCGACACTGCATATATTGTTTCTTACCTTAATGCTATATACAGGATCGTGCAGTTAGCTTCATCCCCCATATAGTAATTCATCCCCCATAGTATTCATCCCCCATATAGTAATTCATCCCCCATATAGTAATTCATCCTCCATATAGTAATTCATCCCCCATAGTAATTCATCCCCCATATAGTAATTCATCCCCCATATAGTAATTCATCCCCCATATAGTAATCCATCCTCCATATAGTAATTCATCCCCCATAGTAATTCATCCCCCATATAGTAATTCATCCCCCATAGTAATTCATCCCCCATATAGTAATTCATCCCCCATATAGTAATTCATCCTCCATATATAGTAATTCATCCTCCATAGTAATTCATCCTCCATAGTAATTCATCCCCCATAGTATTAATCCTCCATATAATAATTCATCCCCCATAGTAATTCATCCCCCTATAGTAATTCATCCCCCCTATAGTAATTCATCCCCCATAGTAATTCATCCCCCCTATAGTAATTCATCCCCCATAGTAATTCATCCCCCATATAGTAATTCATCCTCCATATAGTAATTCATCCCCCCATATAGTAATTCATCCCCCCTATAGTAATTCATCCCCCCTATAGTAATTCATCCCCCATAGTAATTCATCCCCCATATAGTAATTCATCCTCCATATAGTAATTCATCCCCCATAGTAATTCATCCCCCCTATAGTAATTAATTCCCCATATTGTCTCAATTCACTTACCTTTGCTCCGCGCGTTCCTCTCGCTGTGTTCCCACGCTGTGTTCCGGTCTTCAGGGCGGACTGTGAGAGGAGTTCGTCACGCTGCCCCGCCTACATCCTGGCTGCCCCGCCTACATCCTGACAGCTAATGTTCCACGCTCCGCGGGCCGGATTAAAAGAGTCCTGACTTTTGAGGCGGCCACCCGAGAGGAGGGAGGGGAGCGGGCGCCCGGCACACAGAAGAGCCGCATGTGGCTTGCGATCCGCGGCTTGCCGACCACTGAAACCCTATTGCCTGTCACCTGGTGGGCAGTGTGCTCCGGAGCCGCAGCAAAGATGAAAAAGAGCCGCATGCGGCTCTGGAGCCGCGGGTTGCCGACACCCGTACTAGCATAATTGTGTCCCATCTGATTCCTTTGCAAGTGATGAGCTTAAGATTTTTTTTGGCATCTGCTTCTCTGAGGCCACTGAAACACTTGCAAGCTTTGCTGAGCCCCAATGATGGTGGGAGCATTTTGTCGTGTGAAACGCATTAGCTGTTTTGTGAATCAATCGCTTCATCCCCCCCGACCGTACCAGAAGGCAACATGGACTCTGCCATCATACAGTCTAAAAATGCTCAGGTCCAGACGCAAAGCCTGACCATGGAATTTATTTATTTCAGGTACTTATATAGCGCCGTTAATTTACTCAGCACTTTCATATTTGTACATTCACATCAGTCCCTAACCCTCAAGGGGCGTACAATATAAGGTCCCTAACCCTCAAGGGGCGTACAATCAAGGTCCCTAACCCTCAAGGGGTACAATCTAAGGTCCCTAACCCTCAAGGGCGTACAATCTAAGGTCCCTAACCCTCAAGGGGCGTACAATCTAAGGTCCCTAACCCTCAAGGGGCGTACAATCTAAGGTCCCTAACCCTCAAGGGGCGTACAATCTAAGGTCCCTAACCCTCAAGGGGCGTACAATCTAAGGTCCCTAGCTTACATTCATACATATACATACTAGGGACAATTTAGACAGGATCCCAATTAACCTACCATCATGTCTTTGGAGCGCGGGAGGAAAACAGAGTAGCCGGAGAAAACCCACACAGGCACAGGGAGAACATGCAAACTCCAGGCAGGTGGTGCCGTGGTTGGGATACGAACCAACAACCATACTACTGCCAGGCGGAAGTGCTAACCATTTAGCCACTGTGCTGCCCCCACTAGTAAAATTGTGTCCCACCTGATTCCTTTGCAAGTGATGAGTTTAGGATTTTTTTTTTTGGCATCTGCTTCTCGTCCACTGAAACACTTGCAAGCTTTGCTGAGCCCCAATGATGGTGGGAGCATTTTGCTGTGTGTGAAACGCATTAGGTGTTTTGTGAATCAATCACTTCATCCCCTGCGACCTTACCAGAAGGCAACATGGACTCTGCCATCATACAGTCTAGAAATGCTCAGGTCCAGACGCAAACCCTGACCCTGGAATTTATTTATTTATTTCAGGTACTTATATAGCGCCATCAATGTACGCAGCTCTTTACATATATATTGTTCGTTCACATCAGTCCCTAACCCTCAAGGGGAGTACAATCTAAGGTCCCTAACCCTCAAGGGGAGTACAATCTAAGGTCCCTAACCCTCAAGGGGAGTACAATCTAAGGTCCCTAACCCTCAAGGGGTGTACAATCTAAGGTCCCTAACTCACATTCATACATACACATACTAGAGACAATTTAGACAGGAGCCAATTCACCTACCAGCATGTCTTTGGAGGTGGGAGGAAACTGGAGTACCCGGAGGAAACCCACGCAGGTACAGGGAGAACATGCAAACTCCAGGCTGGAAGTGCTGTGGCTGGGATTCGAACCAACGACCCAAGTACTGCCAGATGGAAGTGCTAACCACTTAGCCACTGTGTTGCGCAAGTTAGCTAAGTACTTGGGGCTTTCTGATGAGGTTTTTGTGTTTTTTTGGCTGAAGTGACTAGCTAGAAGGGGTGGAGCATTTAGTTTGAGGGGGGCCCTGGCTGCACTATAAAGCCTAAGTAAACTCAACACAAAATTACATATTGCAGCTTAAAGCGGAGTTCCACCTGAAAAAAAAAAAAGTCAGCAGCTACAAAAACTGTAGTTGCTAACTTTTAAAATACAGCCACTTACCTGTCCCTTGGTCCCGTGGTGTCCTCAGCACTGCAGGTCTCACCGGCCGTCTTCTCTCCCTGGTGCCGGCATCTTCAGTGTGGGCACCCGGCTGTGACAGCTTGCGGCTTCACAGCCGGGTACCCACTGTGCATGCGTGAGAAGCGCTGAGCTTTGCGAATGGCCCCATAGTCTTCTAGGACCTGTCACGTGTCCCAGAAGACTATGGGGAGGGACTGGGGGGGGGCCAACTTCCGCTTCCAATCACCTAGGCGATCACAGCGGAAGTGGGAGTGGGTACCTGTCAAATTTGGTTACCTACTCCCCAAAAGGTGCCAATCCTTAATGGGGAGCGGGGGACAAAGGCATAAAGCGGAACTTCCCCTTCTGGGTGGAGCTCCGCTTTCAGTAATAGAATTTAGCCAGCCACTCAGTATCATACGAAGGGCAATTGTTTTGGCTACATCAATACAGAGTAAAACATGCTAAAGCTTTTCGGCTAAGGGTAAGACCCGAAGCGTATTTTACTCTGAACTGACTATGTAGCCTTCGGATGATACCCAGTTGTCGGTAAAATTCTATTATGTATGTTGCAGTTGTGTGTGTGGAGATACTAAAGCCTGGGCCCCGGTTCCTCCAGGTCTTCCATGGGTCACGGCCTGGCAGTGTGGACTTGTTCTTTTGAATATATTGCAGCTTACCAGTCCTTAAATGTGGTGGCTGCATTATTATTATCATACAGGATTTATGGCGCCAACAGTTTGCTCAGTGCTTTACAATATAACGGGAGACAATACAGCAACAATACCGTTCAATACAAGAGGGATAGGAGGGCCCTGATCCTGGGAGCTTACAATCTAGGAGGGAGGGGCTAGTGGTACAAAAGGTAGTAACTGTGGGGGATGGACTGGTAGGAGGAATAGAAGATTCCATTATTAGCTGAGGGCAGGATAGGCTTCCCTGAAGAGATCGGTTTTCAGAGATCGCCTAAAAGTGAACAGAGTAGGCGATAGTCTGATAAATTGGGGTAGAGAGTTCCAGAGGATGGGGGAAGCTCTGGAGAAGTCCTGAAGGAGGAGACAAGGGAGCTGGAGAGAAGAAGGTCATGCGAGAAGCGGAGAGTACGGTTTGGGTGATATTTGGAGACAAGATTGGTAATTTGGGGCGGAGTTATAAATGGCCTTATATATTATTGTTAATGTTTTGAATTTTATCCATTGGGCAATGGGAAGCCAGTGGAGGGATTGGCAGAGAGGGATGGAGGACACTGAGTGGAGGCCAGTGGAGGGATTGGGAGAGAGGGGTGGAGGACACTGAGTGGAGGCCAGTGGAGGGATTGCCAGAGAGGGGTGGAGGACACTGAATGGAGGCCGGTGGAGGGATTGGCAGAGATGGGATGGAGGACTGAGAGATGGATGGAGGCCGGTGGAGGGATTGGCAGAGAGGGGTGGAGGACACTGAGTGGAGGTCAGTGGAGGGATTGACAGAGAGGGATGGAGGACTGAGTGGAGGCCAGTGGAGGGATTGGCAGAGATGGATGGAGGACTGAGTGGAGGCCAGTGGAGGGATTGGCAGAGATGGATGGAGGAGGCCGTGAGGGATGGAGAGGGGTGGAGGACACTGAGTGGAGGGAGTGGCAGGGATTGGCAGAGGGGATGGAGGACACTGAGTGGAGGCCAGTGGAGGGATTGGCAGAGAGGAATGGAGGACACTGAGTGGAGGCCAGTGGAAGGATTGGCAGAGAAGGATGGAGGACACTGAGTGGAGGTCAGTGGAGGTCAGTGGAAGGATTGGCAGAGAGGGATGGCAGATATGGAACGGTTAGTAAGGTGGATGAGTCTGGCAGCAGCATTCATGATAGACTGAAGAGGGGATAGTCTGCGATGAGGTCGGCCAATGAGGAGGGAGTTACAATAGTCAAGGCGAGAGATAACAAGGGAGTGAATACGTTGCTTAGAGGTTTGGAATGGCCATATCTTGGAGATGTTGCGGAGGTGAAATCTACAAGATTTGGACAGTGATTGGATTTGGGGTGAAAGGACAGACTGGAGTCTAGGATTACACCTTGTACCCTGGCATGAGGCGAGGGACTGATGGTTGTATTATTGATCTTGATGGAGAAGTCGGGGGAGGGGGCACATGCTGGAGGGAATAATATGAGCTCCATTTTGGAAAGATTGAGTTTGAGGAAGTGGAGTAACATTAGTTTTCTTCTTTCAGACTTTTTGCTTCTTTTCACTTCCTGCCATGGGGTGACAACGCTTATTCACTGTACTGTGTATTTAAGGAGCAGCATTGCTACCTTAGGACAGGAGGTGTGCTAGGACTACAGAACACCCGCTCTTCTGTTCTGTAGTCCACAGAGAGATCTGGAAACATTGTAAAGCACAGTCAGAGAGAACAGGAGTTTCCAGTTCACAAGATTTCTGGCAGGATCAGGGGGTCTTTTATTCCATGTAGCCAACAGATATAATAAAACTCTTCCAGTTGTATATCTGCCATCCCAAAAGGGAGCATTGTTAGGTTTTCCATACACTTCAATGTAACGTTCGGTGTCTGCGATTCTGTAAATGGATGGAAAATTCCACATGACATTTAGGCTCGTTCAATAAGCTACACAGCAAAGTGCAGTAAACAATCAGAATTGATCTTTCTTTCTGGCCGGAATACAATAAAACAGAAATGTGCTGGCTATACCTTCGCTTATTGTACATTTTATTGTATTTTAGACCCCATGATTGCTTCTTGTGCTGCTTCATCAAATACTCCCCTATAAAGCATTGGTGGATACTAAAGTAATCCGAAACGCCATCACTAAAATTCCATGTTAATGCATTTCAAAGTGTTCAATCTGTCTAAATCTGCTGCTTTCGTTATAATACCTGGTGGTCCCGCCATTAAGGTTCTTGTTCAGGCACTTCCTGTTGTGGGTGACAACGCTATTGCGCCGTCTTCCAACTATGCTCCTGTGTGGTCTCCCTTTCATGTGTGCCCATGGCGGAGACTACAAATGGTCGTGGAAACAAACCTTGCATAGGCATGGTCCAATGTTGTAACCATCGGGAAGCCGGTCCCGTGCAATGATGTGCAGCCGAAGCTGGAGTGTATGCACATAGACAGGAAGTAACTGACAGATCAGAAACACAGAGATGGGAATCAGGTGTCTCAACAAGCTTTATTCTATCAAAGTACAAAGACAGGGGCGGACTGACAACTCATGGGGCCCCCCGGGCAATAGGGGATCATGGGGCCCCTGTGTCTTTGCCCACATTCAAGGCACATCCAAAAAAGCCTATAAAAAAGGTGGGGCATTTCATGGGGCCCCCTAATGACCCCGGGCCCTCGAGCAGTGCCCAAGTGCTTGAATGGTCAGTCAGCCCCTGATCCCGCTGACCTTCTTAAAGGATAAGCTCACCTTTCCGAAAAAGTAATAAATGCACGTATTTTTTCAGAAAAAATGCATTTTTCCTATGGCTAAATGGTTAGCACTCCTGCCTAGCAGTACTAGGGTTGTTGGTTCGAATCCCAGCCATGGCACCTCCTGCCTGGAGTTTGCATGTTCTCCCTGTGCCTGCATGGGTTTCCTCCGGGTACTCCGGTTTCCTCCTACACTCCAAAGACATGCTGGGAGGTGAATTGGATCCTGTCTAAATTGTCCCTAGTATGTGTATGTATGAATGTGAGTTAGGGACCTTAGATTGTACGCCCCTTGAGGGTTAGGGACTGATGTGAATGTACAATATACAGTGGGGATGGAAAGTTTGGGCACCCCAGCTAAAAATTTGCATTAATGTGCATAAAGAAGCCAAGGAAAGATGGAAAAATCTCCAAAAGGCATCAAATTACAGATTAGACATTCTTATAATATGTCAACAAAAGTTAGATTTTATTTCCATCATTTACACTTTCAAAATAACAGAAAACAAAAAAATGGCGTCTGCAAAAGTTTGGGCACCCTGCAGCGTTAATATCTTGTACTGCCCCCTTTGGCAAGTATCACAGTTTGTAAACGCTTTTTGTAGCCAGCCAAGAGTCTTTCAATTCTTGTTTGAGGTATCTTTGCCCATTCTTCCTTACAAAAGTCTTCCAGTTCTTTGAGATTTCTGGGCTGTCTGTCACGCACTGCTCTTTTAAGGTCTATCCATAGATTTTCAATTATGTTGAGGTCAGGAGATTGTGAAGGCCATGGCAAAACCTTCAGTTTACGCCTCTTGATGTAATCCCCCGTGGATTTCGAGGTGTGTTTAGGATCATTATCCATTTGTAGAAGCCATCCTCTCTTTAACTTCAGATTTTTCACAGATGGCATCAAGTTACCATCTAAAATTTGCTGAAATTTTATTGAATCCATTTTTCCTTCTACTCGTGAGATGTTCCCTGTGCCACTGGCTGCAACACAACCCCAAAGCATGATTGATCCAACCCCATGCTTAACAGTTGGACAGAGGTTCTTTTCATTAAATTCTGTGCCCCTTCTTCTCCAAACGTACCTTTGCTCATTCCAGCCCAAAAAGTTCAATTTTAACCTCATCGGTCCACAGAACTTGTTTCCAAAATGCATCAGGCTTGTCTATATGTTCATTTGCAAAGTTCAAACGATGATTTTTGTGGTGAGGGCGTAGAAGAAGAGGTTTTCTTCTGATGACTCTTCCATGAAGACCATATTTGTACAAGTATCTCTTTATAGTGGAATAGTGTACCACAACTCCAGTGTCTGCCAGATCTTTGTGGAGGGATCGTGCAGTCAAACGTGGGTTTTGAATTGTTTTTCTCACAATCTTGCGAGCTGTTCTGTCTGATATTTTTCTTGGTCTTCCAGATCTTGTTTTAACTTCCACTGTTCCTGATGACTGCCATTTCTTAATTACATTCCGAACAGAGGATATTGACATCTGAAAACGCTTTGCTATCTTCTTATAGCCTTCTCCAGCTTTGTGAGCGTCAACTATTTTCAGTTTCAGTTTTCTAGACAACTGCTTAGAAGAACCCATGGTGCTGATTGTTGGGGCAAGGTCAGATGAGTCCGGGCATTTAAAACCTTTGAGATTGACATCACCTGGTCTTCCCAGACGATGATTGAGAACAATCCATGACACTGGCAGGTCTCAGCTTTGCAAAGGGGGCAGTGCATGCTATAAATTCTGCAGGGTGCCCAAACTTTTGCAGACGCCATTTTTTTGTTTTCTGTTATTTTGAAAGTGTAAATGATGGAAATAAAATCTAACTTTTGTTGACATATTATAAGAATGTCTAATCTGTAATTTGATGCCTTTTGGAGATTTTTCCATCTTTCCTTGGCTTCTTTATGCACATTTAATACAAATTTTTAGCTGGGGTGCCCAAACTTTCGATCCCCACTGTATATGTAAAGCGCTGCATAAATTGACGGCACTATATAAGTACCTGAAATAAATACAGTTCTCATCAGGGGCGGACTGACAACTCTTGGGGCCCTCGGGCAATAGGGGATCATGGGGCCCGTGTGTCCTTGCCCACACTCATAGCACAACCAAAAAAAAGCCTATAAAAAGGTACCAGGGGCATTTCATGGGGCCCCCTACTGACCCCGGGCCCTCGGGCAGTGCCCGAGTGCTCGAATGGTCAGTCCGCCCCTGGTTCTTATGGATCCTATTCACATTAATGCAGTTTCCTGCAATACGTTCTTTGGAAACGTGCAAGGACTTTGTTACATGCAGCTCGATGCATGAATTTTGGCTCCATAGGCGTCAATGAGTTGCATCACAAATATACATGCATTTTTGACGCGTTTTCCTGCATGACAACACACGCCTCACCCAGCACAATGCATAAAAAAAAAAAGAGAAAGAAATGTGCCAGAACGTGCCTCAAAAACACATCAACCCACACTTGCGCAGATGTGAACCTAGCAGAAGTGCTGAATTCACACAGAAATAGTGAAGCAAGAAACAGCTACGTGTAATTGTCGTCCCAGGCACATGGTCTGCACATCGAGTATTTTCCGGTATCGGGGAACAGATGCCAAACAGACGCACCATCACAGCCGTGAGGGTTTGGCTGCTCAAGAAAGACAATTCCATACAACAGGCTTCCTGGAGCATTTTTCTATAATGATGAACGTGACTTTGTGATATTCTGTAACTGAGGCTGGCGGATCAGATGGGAACAGATCTGACCGTACATTGAGGTTACGTTACGACCCTATGAAAGGGATACGTCCGCCATAAAGCGACAAACCTTGCACTGACCAAAGAAAAGTCCACACTGAAGCAGAACTCTAATTATTTATGTATTTTTTTAAATTGGTAGATTCCCAACCTCCCTTGTAAAAAAAAAAAAAAAAAAAAAACTCCAAATACCATCTCCAAGCTACAGTGCTGTACTGGACTTCCTTCTCTGTCCAGAGCTGGAAGTCCTCTTTCGGAGAAAAACGGTCATTCTGACCATTTCCTATCCAATGCTGTACCCGAATTCCTCCTCCATCCAGCACTGGTGGTCTTCTTCAGAGAGAACAACGGTCATATCATTCTGTCTATTTCCTGTCCACTGTTGTACCCAACTCTCTCCTCCATCCAGCACTCGTGGTCCTCTTCAGAAAAAACCTTGTCATACCATTTTATTTCCTGTCCAGTGTTGTACCCAACTCTCTCCTCCATCCAGCACTGGTGGTCCTCTTCAGATAGAATGACTGTCATTGTGTTCATTTCCTGTACAGTGATGTATCCAACCTCCTTCTTGGTCCAGCACTGCCGGTCCACTTTAAACAGAATGTCATTGTGTTCATTTCCTATCCAGTGCTGTGTCCAACATCCTCCTCCATAGGGCACTGGTGGTCCTCTTCAGGCAGAAAAATCATTCTGCCCATTTCTGTCCAGTACTATATCTGACTTTTTCATCCATCCAGCACTGCCAGTCCTCTACAGAGGGGACACCAATCATTTTGCCTATTCTCTATCTAGTGCTGTACCCTACTTCCTCCTCTATCCAGCACTGCCGGTCCTCTTCAGACGGAACGAATGTCATTGTGCTCATTTCCTTTCTAGTGCTGTATCCAGGTTCCTCCTCTGTCCAGCACTGGCAGCTCATTTCCTGCCCAATGCTGTATCCAACTTCCTCCTGTGTCCAGCACTGGTGGTCCGCACAGAGCGGTCATGTCATTCTGCCCATTTCCTGTCCACCACTGTATCCGACTTCCTCCACTATCCAGCACTACCAGTCCTCCTTAGAGGGAACACCAGGCCTTCAGCCCATTCCCTATCCAGCACTCTACACAACTTCCTCCTCCACCCAGCACTGTCGGTCCGCTTTGGATGGAACAAGAGTCATTCTGCCCATTTCAGGGCCAGAGGTGTACCCGATTTCCTCCTCTGTCCAGAGCTGGCGGTCCTCTTCAGGCTGAATAACGTTCATTCGGCCCTTTTTCTGTGAGCCTATCATGTCATTGACAGGGCTCAAATCAATCAATGACATGATAGGCACACAGAAAATGGGCCGAATGAACGTTATTCAGCCTGAAGAGGACCGCCTCTCCATCCTGGAAGAATTTGTATTCCCCCAACTCCCAGTTTCTGCAGTCAGCCTGTAGTGGGTGGAGCCTGCTGGGTCCCTCCCACAGGTCTGCTCTTTGCACAGGCTATGTACAGCACAACGATGAGGTCACGGCTAATTTGGTAAGGTGATATCTGGTTTTGCAAAGGCATACGGTGTACACAAAGTATATTTACATCCTTTGTAGCTATTGAGGAACATATTTAAATAATGTTTTGTGCCTGGAGCCAGGGGTGGACTGACAACTCATGGGGCCCCCAGGCAATAGGGGATCATGGGGCCCCTGTGTCCTTGCCCAAACTCAAAAAAAGCCTATGAAAAAGGTACCAGGGGCATCTCATGGGTCCCCCTACTGACCCCGGGCCCTCGGGCAGTGCCTGAGTTTCCAAATGGTCAGTCCGCCCCTGCACAGAGCTCAACATGAAGAACCAGTTCTCCAAAGCTGAATACTAAGTGCTAAATATTTGTGCTGCGAGGCCAGAAACAGTGCCTAATTTCAGAAGCTAATAAACTGCATTCTTTATTGTGGTTCCTTACACTATACTCTAGATTTAGGCACAGCTACAGAAACCACAACATAAAGAGCCTCTAGATCTTTCAACATTACTATATGTTAAATACAAAATGCAGCTGCAGTATCACACACTGAACTGTAGGTGGCAGTCAGCAACTGCACTGAGAGGTGTGAAATACAACACTGCCACCAGCTGTACAAGGGGCAACACTGCACCATATCCATTAAAAAACATTGGGTGAAGTAACCAATCATTTTGCAGGAAGCCGAGTACTATAGAAAATGATGTGAGCGCTTTATTTATTTATTTTTATTTTTTTGGACAAGTACATTTTTATTATTGCACTTTGAAGATGTAAACTCTCAGGCCAACTGATAGATTCTATAGGAAGGTCATAATTCTATTCTTTTTGGTCTAATAAATCCACACATACAGCAAGCAGAGGAGAAAAGGCAGAAATAGGTAAGGTAATGCCACTCCTCCTGGCCATATACGAAGATAGTTTAGTACGATTCCTAATGAACTGGTCACAATTCTAGCCGTCAGCAGCCTGGTCAAACACAGGCTGACTCGGGAGCGAGCCCACACGTCTGCCCCCCATAGCACGCTGTGTGCCATGTGTGCACACTCAGAAGAGGAGGAGCGGAGAGTGCGAGTGGGGGACCCCAGAAGGCTGACTCGGGAGCGAGCCCACACGTCTGCCCCCATAGCACGCTGCGTGCCATGTATGCACACTCAGAAGAGGAGGAGCGGAGAGAGTGCCAGTATGGGACCCCAGAAGGCTGACTCAGGAGCGAGCCCACACGTCTTCCCCCATAGCACGCTGTGTGCCATGTGTGCACACTCAGAAGAGGAGGAGAGGAGAGTGCCAGTATGGGACCCCAGAAGGCTGACTCAGGAGCGAGCCCACACGTCTGCCCCCATAGCACGCTGTGTGCCATGTGTGCACACTCAGAAGAGGAGGAGCGGAGAGTGCCAGTATGGGACCCCAGAAGGCTGACTCGGGAGTGAGCCCACACATCTGCCCCCCATAGCACGCTGTGTGCCGTGTGTGTACACTCAGAAGAGGAGGAGCGGAGAGTGCCAGTGGGGGACACCAGAAGGCTGACTGGGGAGCGAGCCCACACGTTTACCCCCATAGCATGCTGTGTGCCGTGTGTGCACACTCAGAAGAGGAGGAGCGGAGAGTGCCAGTGGGGGACCCCAGAAGGCTGACTCGGGAGCGAGCCCACACGTCTGCCCCCATAGCATGCTGTGTGCCGTGTGTGCACACTCAGAAGAGGAGGAGCGTAAAGTGCCAGTGGGGGACACCAGAAGGCTGACTCGGGAGCGAGCCCACACGTTTACCCCCATAGCATGCTGTGTGCCGTGTGTGCACACTCAGAAGAGGAGCGGAGAGTGCCAGTGGGGGACCCCAGAAAAGAAGATCAATCTTTGCACAGAGCAGGTAAGTATAAAACTAGTTTATTTTATGAAAAAAGAACAGATTTAAGTATCACTTTCAATGCTGCGCCTATGAATCATCGATATATAATTGCAGATACCCCGAATGAAAGTCTACCACACTCACCAAAGAGATACAACTTAATGTTTCAAAAAGAAGAAACAAAGTATCAAAGTCCCTGGTGGCCAACCTGCAGCACAGAGGCCGCATGAAGCCCTTTGTCATTTTTCTTTGTGCAGCCCTCGGGGCCCTGCAGACACTAATCTGTGTTTCCCTATTGCACCGATATAGCGGTCATTTCTAGCAGTCAACGGCTGTCTCCTATAGCATATCCCCAGTCTCCAACTCCATGTTCAGAGTCTCTAGACAGTCTCCCACAGCATGTCTGCCGTCTCTGACCATCACGTGTATCATGTCTTCAGTCTCTGACCGTCTCCTGTATCATGTCTGCAGTCTCTGACCATCTCCTGTATCATGTTTGCAGTCTATGACCCTCTCCTGTATCATGTCCGCAGTCTCTGACTATCTCTTGTATCATGTCCATAGTCTCTGACCATCTCCTGTATCATGTGAGCACTCTCTGACCATCTCCTGTATCATGTTTGTAGTCTCTGACCCTCTCCTGTATCATGTCCGCAGTCTCTGACCATCTTTTGTATCATGTCTTTAGTCTCTGACCATCTCCTGTATCATTTCTGCAGTCTCTGACCATCTTTTGTATCATGTCCGTAGTCTCTGACCATCTCCTGTATCATGTCCGCAGTCTCTGACCATCTCCTGTATCATGTTTGTAGTCTCTGACCCTCTCCTGTATCATGTCCGCAGTCTCTGACCATCTTTTGTATCATGTCTTTAGTCTCTGACCATCTCCTGTATCATGTCTGCACTCTCTGACCATCTCCTGTATCATGTCCGCAGTCTCTGACCATCTTTTTGTATCATGTCCATAGTCTCTGACCATCTCCTGTATCATTTCTGCAGTCTCTGACCATCTTTTGTATCATGTCTGTAGTCTCTGACCATCTCCTGTATCATGTCCGCAGTCTCTGACCATCTTTTGTATCATGTCCATAGTCTCTGACCATCTTTTGTATCATGTCCATAGTCTCTGACCATCTACTGTATCATGTCTGCAGTCTCTGACCGTCACTTGTATCATGTCTTCAGTCTATGACCATCTCCTGTAGCATGTCTGCACACTCTGACCATCTCTTGTATAATGTCCGCAGTCTCTGACCATCTCCTGTATCATATCCGCAGTGTCTGACCATCTCTTGTATAATGTCCGCAGTCTCTGACCATCTTCTGTATCATGTCCGCAGTCTCTGACCATCTTCTGTATCATGTCCGCAGTCTTTGACCATCTCTTGTATAATGTCCGCAGTCTCTGACCATCTTTTGTATCATGTCTGCAGTCTCTGACCCTCTCCAGTATCATGTCCGCAGTCTCTGACCATCTCCTTTATCATGCTCTCAAGTCTTTCACTATATCCTGTTGTGTGTCTGCTGTCTCTGACAGTGAATATTCACCGGAATTTATGTGTGGCCCTTTGGTGATGTCAAGGGCTGCATTTGAGGCCCCCCCATAGCAAGAAAGTTGACCACCACTGATCCAAGTAGCATGCTACATTCGTGAAAATACCACATTATGGCCACTAGACAGAGCTAAGAATCATAGGGATAAGTATCATCCTCAGCTCCATCTAGTGACCAGAATGCGGTATTTTCCTGAACCATGCTCTTTTTTATGAATAACGATCAACCTGTTGAGGAAATAGGAGGGGAATATTCAATTGTACACATTTGCACACACAAAAAAAAAAGTGCCAGCAGTTTCACAAGTAAAGGAGCTCTGCAAATTTTTATAATAAAAAATATTAAATTTTTACCATTTGGGCTGCAGACAATAGACACCAATGCCGCAGGAGATAAATAAACATGGCTATGATAAGTATGTTCTGAGGGCAAAGAAGAATGGCTGGGAGGATTTTTCTTAACCACTTCCCATCCGGCTGTTGTATATAAACGGCCAGACGGTGGCAGTGCAGGGTCGGGTGGCCGTTTATAAACTGCTTGAAAGCGCGCAGCACCGCGATCCGGTGCCCGCTGTGTCCTACGGACACACTGGAACACCGACCATCGGATGGGACCTCTCTGCGAGGTCCCGATCATGTGATCACTGATTGGCCAATCAGTGATCACATGCAAAGTAGTACGCAAGATGTCACTTCTGACATTATTGCTTACTACGTGTGAAATCTGTGAATGATCACAGAGATCACATGGTACAGGGCCATTCACAACAGCCTTGTACCATGTGACAAGCTGTGACCAATCACAGCTCACACAGTAGTTCTCAATGGCTGCAAAAATGCAGCCAGAGAGAAGGAGAAATGATTGCTTTTACAGCCTTTATGGGTGAAAAAGCAATCAGTGTAAAAAAGAGAAAAACAGAAATCTTCATCACCCCCCACAAGTAGTACAGTGTCACCATGGTGACACTGTACTGCTAGGGTGACAGTATTTAAAAAAAAACAAAAACAAATTTAAAAAAAAAAAAAAAAAAATGTAAAAAAAAAAAATTTTAAAAATTATAATATAATATTATATATATTTTTTTATTTTTACTAAAAAGATAACGCAATACATTTTGGCCAAGATTAATGAAGAAAGATTATTTGCAAAATTGTATAAGAAAAACACTTTTTTTCAACATTTTTGGACTTTTTCATTGACATAGCAAAAAAAAAATAAAAAATCCTAGTGGTGAATAATACCGCCCAAAAAAATACTGAAAAATTCATATGGGTACAGTGTTGCATGACCGCGCAACTGTCATCCAAAGTGAGCCAGAGAGAAGGAGAAATGATGGCTTTTACAGCCTTTATGGGTGTAAAAGCAATCAGTGTAACAAAAAAAAAAAATCTTCATCACCCCCCCCCACAAGTAGTACAGTGTCACCATGGTGTTACTGTACTGATAGGGTGACAGTATGTAAAACAAAAATAAAAAATAATATAAAAATGTAAAAAAAAAATGTTTAAAATTATAATTTTTGGTTATAAACTAATTTGTTTTTTTTTTTTTTTTTTACTAAAAAAAGATAACGGAATACATTTTGGCAAAGATTTATGATGAAATATTTATTTATTGCAAAATGTTATAAAAAAAAAAAACACTTTTTCAAAATTTTGGGACTTTTTCATTTACATAGCAAAAAAAAAAAAAAAAAATCCCTGCTAGGGTGACAGTATGTAAAAAAATAAATAATAATATAAAAAGATAAAGCAATACATTTTGGCCAAGATTAATGAAGAAAGATTATTTGCAGAATTGTATAAGAAAAACATTTTTTTTCAAAATTTTTGGACTTTTTCATTGACATAGCAAAAAAAAATAAAAATCTGTGCTAGGGTGACAGTATGTAAAAAA